CGAATTCGTGAGAATTATTACATGGGAGTTTGTTGGTATTTGCAATTATTAACATGACGAATAATTTATAACGGTTTGATGACGATTTCTGCTTGATGATATAACAGAGCAATGAATCCTGCCAAAAGCGCACTTAGCAAATAAATTCCTATCGCATGATTTGTTTGCAATTTCTACATGGTGAAAAGCTGAGGCCTACTGTATATTAAGACCATATTAGTGACAAGCAATCATTAATTTTTTTTCCATCTCACGTTCAAAAAAGAGAAAAATCTCGACTAGATACAAAATTTATTTTTTTGGAAAGAGAAATTATAATTATACACGAATTACTTGTTAAAAAAATTTTTGTTTTAGAATATTTTTGGTGTATTCTGTGATAAGAGTGGAATTGTGAAAAGTCTGCTTGTCTCGAATAGGGTCTTAATAAAAAATTTTTTTTTTGTTCCATTAACTTTTTTTGTACTTCCTACTATTTTGCCTGACTATCTAATTTTTTAGTTTATACGGTACTACATTTTCCTTACACGCTTGTTTAGCCTAAAAGTGACAAACGTTCATCGCTGCTTTCGCAAAAAAAAGCATCTCATGCACGCAGACATATTGTGTTGTCTATACATAAGGTTTAGCATTAAACGACAAGTATTTAACAATTGTGACAAAAACGCGGTTTTTTTATGCAACTGCCAGTTTTGCAGTTCAAGTGCGATGACAACCTCGATGATTATACAATGATTAATGAGGGTGTTTTTTTCTGTTTGTTTTTTTAATTATTTTTTTTAGACTTATTTTCAATTAAGAGGATACCCACACGCTAAGACTGTGAGAAAAAAAAGGCTTGATATCACCCCTTGACGCATTTTTTTTCCATTATTATATTGTCTCTGCACGAAAGCCGTTGAGATTCTCTTGAGATTGTTCGTTGCGTGTTTTCCTCAAGTCGAGGCGAAGGGACCTCTGCTTTTTTATTTTACTCTTTATTGATTAACGAGAGTAGCTTTTTTAAAGTTTAGACTGCGTTGCGGGAGTGCTGCACTGCTATCCTTTATGCTGCGTGTTAAGCACAGGCGAAAGACATCAATTAGTATATTAAAGAAATTACTAGAGAGAGCTAGAATAGTATTTTTATTTTTCATACAGAAAAATTTGTTACTAATCCGAGAATTTTTTTTTTTCTAAATTTTTGAAAAATGTTTTACAACTGCAGGGCTCGAAGCAGTGAAAGTATTTAAAAATACAAACTTAACGGAACAAAAATTAAAAATTACGAACCATTTACGGACCAATGACAAAAATATAACCATTCCGAGTCAAATAAGAGAACATTTTACTTAAAACTATAAATTAAATTTTTCTAAACTATAAAACATGAAGATTTTACTTAAAACTATAAATTAAATTTTTTAAAACTATAAAACATGAAGTCTTCGACTCGGAGTGATCGATTTCTGCATGTTTTATAATAATTAAAAATGACCGAGTGATAAAATCAATTCAATTATTATTTTTAAGAATTTTTAACTAAAATTCTTCGTTAAATCAATTATTTTTAAGAATTTTTAAAAAAAAGTTCTTCTTCGAGAATTTTTAAATTCACTTCTTTAAAATTCAATTTATTGAATATTTAAATATTTTTAAAATTCAATTCTGATTAAGAATTTTATCAACAAATATTTAAATAATTGAAATTTTTTGACTAATTTTAATAAAATTTTTAAGAATAATTACATTTTTCGAGAAATTCGATTAAAATTGCATTAAAAATAATTTAAATTCTGCGATGAGTTTTATTATTTATGAAAATAATTGAAAACCTATAAAGTTTTTTTGATTATTTATAAACAATATTTGATTTTTGCGAAGAATATTATTACTCTTGAAAATAATTGAATTTCTGCAATAATTTGTAACTTTTCCAAAATTCAATTTTTTTTCTTTTTTTTTTTACTAAAATTATTCTATAAAATTATTTTTAATAATTTTTGAAAAAGTTGTTTGAGAATTTTCAAATTCATTTGTTTAAAATTCAATTTTATAAAATTTCAATTATTCGTAAATTCTTCAATTAAATTATTAGAAAATAAAAACTTCAAAAAATCTCATAAAAAATCTACAATATTAAACTTTTTCAAAAAATTAATTGCACTGAATTGTTAGTTAAAAATATGAAAAATTCAGATTTTCCAAGATTCTAATTTGAAACCTATTCAAAGTTGTAATATGTCTAAAAATTCATGCAATAATGCTTTTAAAATTCAATTATTATTTAAAATTTTAACTAACATTTATTTTAAAATCAATTTTTTTTAGAAAATTTTAAGAGAATTTAATGATTTAAGTACAAAAATAAATATTTAATTGAATACTTATGTAAATGTTTCTTAAAATTGAAATATCTTTTAAAGAATTCTATCAACTAATTTTTAAATAATTGAATTCCTGTGAAATTTTTATTATTTATGCGATAATAATTAAATGCTTGCGTAGAATATTATAAAAATTTATTCAAATAATTGAATTCTTTTGGAAAATGTTATTAAAATAGTAGATAAAATTAAAAATCATTGAATTGAGGAAAATTTTTGAACATAATTAAAATTTTTACCAATTTTAATAAAATTTTTAAGAATAATTACATTTTTGGAGGAATTTGATTAAAATTCTATTAAAAATAATTGAAATTCTACAATGAGTTTTATTATTTATGAAAATAATTTAATTCCTAAGAAGAATTTTAATATTTACAAAAATAATGGAATCACTGTAAAATTTTTATTAATTTATGAAAATAATTGAATTATTGCGAGGAAATTTATAAAAAAAATTTGTAAGTAATTGAATTCCTGTGAAATTTTTAATATTTATTCGAAAATAATTAAATGTTTGCGTAGAATTTTATTAAAATTTATACAAATAATTGAATTCTTTTGGAAAATTTTATTAAAATAGTAGATATTGAAAATCATTGAATTTTTGAAAATTTTTTTAAATAATTGAAATTTTGACGAGAATTTTTGAAAATTTTTTAATATAATTGAATTTCAGAGAAGAATTTTATTACTTATAAAGATAATTGAAATTTTGACTAAAATTATTTAAAAATTTTTTAACAGAATTAAATTCTTTTGGAAAATTTTATAAAAATAGTAGATATTGAAAATCATTGAAGTTTTGAAAATTTTTGAAAATAATTGAAATTTTGACGAATTTTAATAAAATTGTTAAGAATAATTACATTTCGTCTTTTCTCAATCAAATTATGGACTTTACGGAACTTTTTTCAAAAAAACTGACTTTTACAGACTTCAAACAAATTTGCGGACCTTTACGGGATTTACGGACCTAATTCGAGCCCTGCAAAGATTTTTTCGAAAAGCGTGTGCTAATAAACTACTACTTCTGTTGCAAAACTAAAAGCAGATTTTTATTCTTAAATATTATACATATTATAGTTTGTGCTACAAAATTGGTTTTTTGATCTCAAATAATTTTTAAACGGGCCAGTTTTTTTTATTCTTCGCTTAAAAATTTCTTCCGTTCGTCAAGAAATTTTCTTTTCTTTTATTACTTTTGAAAATAACAAAAATTTTTGCCATAAAAAATCAGGTCTATGAGGAATAATAGAATGTGTGAAAATATTTTTTGAAGACACATTACTTCATCAAGATTTTAATTTTTTATTTTTACATTCAGTATTTTTTCCTTTGATTTAGAAATTAATTTTCTTAATTTGCATTTTATTTCTAAAATTGATGTCACAATGTGTTTTGAAAGACAAAAAAGCTCTAAACAGACAGGCGGAAGACGGACAGGGCAAATGTGTGATCATGCTGGAAGATATAAGCCAAAGACTACGGAGAAATAAATTTTATTTCAAAATAATTCGCTAACTAAAACGAAGTATTCTCTACAAAATGAATTTCAAATCAAAATAAAATTCAACTTACAAGTGATTCTAGATTCTATTTAACTTTTATATATTTATAAGAAAAAAAAACTCTTTGGAGATCTTCTTCTTTCATAATTTCATGCAAGAATATTGAATATAAATATTGAGTCAATACTAAAAACCAAAAATTCTAGTTACTAATTTTTTAAAGAAATTATAACGAAAATTATGCTACGTAGAAGAAAATAAAAAGTCCTTAAAATGTGTTTAAAAGAAAAACAATTTTTGATATATCTACAAAATTAAAATTGAACAACAAAAAAATACATTTATGACGAATACAAATTTTTAATAATCTCATTCGCTCATTCAACAATCCATACAAAATGTACACACAAGACAATATACAATAATGATACAAAACAAATAAATTAGAGAAGCCTAAAAACAATACAATTTTTTTTTTACAAATATAAATATAGTAAGTGCTCTATGTGTATTCTTCAATTATATTAATATTGCTATTGAATATTTTCTTTCTATTTCATTAAAACTTATAATAAATATTCAACGTGGGAAAATATATTATCTTTTCTTCACCAACTCACTTCTTTGAGATTCAAACATTCCAAGCTTCTTTTTTTAATTATTGAAGAAGCAAATTATTTTAAAAAAAAATATTATGCTATTTCTCAATTTTATTCTTATCGAGAATATAATCCTTTTTTTTCAATTTTAGGACTGATCTTTTACATATTTAAAATCGAATGGAAATTATTATTCTTAAAATTAATTTTAACATAATTTAAAAACTATTTTATGCCCCGATTTAATTAGGTTTTCAATGATTTTCCGAAATTAGTCATTTCATTCGAATCAAAGATTTTTGAGCTTAATTTTCTAAAACTACTATCACTTTTTTATACAGAGAAATTTGATTAAACTGTCAGACAGAATTGTTTCTTTTTTTTGGAAATTAACAATGCAAACAAAAATTAAAAATAAATATATAAATTATCGTAGTTCGAATTATTAGGGAATTGAGAAAAATTTCTTAAACGTTATTTTAGAGGTTTGTCCGGATTCTTGAAAATGCGAGAAGATTACTCACACATTGACGAAACGTAGTTGCTTGGAAAGACACCGGAAACACCGTTTAGCTCGCCTCTCCACCACGCTTCTTCTTCTTTGGCAAGGACAGTAATCACATCACCTTTTTCGAAACTTAACTCGTCCTCGTTTTGTGCCTGATATGGATAAAGCGCCATCACACGTTCTGCAAAAAAAACAGTTTTGTTTTCAATATTCTTTGTCTCAAATACTCCTTTTTGAATTTCAATATTTTTTCAATTTAAATTAGATATTGGTGAAAATTGAAATTTGTAATAGTGAAATTCAGTTTAGTTTTTAAATAATTTCAGATTCAAAATTGTAAAGAAATTCTTCAAAAAAAATTCAATTATTTTCAATATTTTAGTAAAACTCCTTAAAAGAATTCAATTATTCTCAAAAGTTTTGATAACAGCTTTTAAAAGAATTCAATTATTTTTATAAATAATAAATTGTTTCCTATGAATTCAATTATTTTCAGTAGAGTATTTATAAAATCTCTTTAAAGAATTCAATTATTTTTAAAAATTGGAATAAAATTATGGGGAAAATTCAATTATTTTCCAAAAAATGTTTATAAAATTCAATAATCAATTTTTAATTGCAATTATTAAAATAAACAATTATTTTAAATTCAATTATTTTTAATATTTTAATAAAACTCTTTGAAAGAATTTAATTAAATTCTCAAAAGTTTTGATAACAGTTTTTAAAAGAATTCAATTATTTTTATGAATAATAAATCTTTTCGTGTGAATTCAATTATTTTTAAAAATTGTAATAAAATTATTTAAAAAATTCAATTACTTTCCAAAAAATGTTTATAGAATTGAATAATTAAATTTTTAATTACAATCATTAACATACGCGATTATTTTAAAAAGTTGAAAGAAATTTTTCGTAAAATTCAATCATTTTCATAATTTGCAATGAAAATTATTAAATAGAACTTTTTTTCAAAAAATTTTGAACTATTCTTCAAAAGAATTTAATTTTTTACGAAATCTCTAATAAAATTCTTTAATAGAATTTAATTTTCTATTGATGATTTCAATAAAATTTAAGAATAAAGTGATTCGAAAAAATTCAATTATTTTCAATATTTTAATGAAATTCCTTGTAAAAATTCAATTATTTAGAAAATTGTAATAAAATTCAGATAAGAATTTAAATATTTTCTAAAAATTTTAACAAAATTTAAAAATCAAATGTTTCATAATTACAATTGTTAACAAACACGATTATTTTTAAAATTCGAAATAAATTCTCCAAAACAATGTAATTATTTTCAATAATTAAAAAAAAATTCTTCGTAAGAATTCAATTGATTCATAATAAAATTCTTCACGAGAACTGAATTATTTTCAATACAATTTTAATGAAATTCCTCGAAAAATATAATTATTCTTAAAAATTTTATTACAATTCGTCAAAAGAATTCAATTATTTAAAAATTTCTTAATAAAATTCTTCATGAGAATTCAATTTAAAGAAACATTCAATTATTCAATAAATTATTTATTTTTGTATTCGTAGTTTTCTTATAAGAATAGATTAAAAATGAATTTAAGTTAAAATTTTAGATAATACTTAACTGAATACTAGAAGCATTAGTAAAATTAAAATTAAAAAATATAATTAATGAAATTTACATACCAATATTAGGATCTGTCGGTGAATCTAAATACCCATGGGAAACGGGAGTGCTTCTATTGCTATTGCTAGTTAGAAGTTTTACATAGGAAGCTGGGAACCAACCAATTTGTCGTTTCTTTCCTCGAGCCTGAAAAAAATGATAAATTTTCACTTTTTGTATTTAATTTTAAATTTGAATTTAAAAAAAGAGAAAAATGCTTACCTGCAATTCACCTTCCCACCAGCCAGTGTCAGTCTTTTTACGAATCATGATTAATTGTCCCCTCTGAAGATTCAATTGTTCCGCACTGGTCGCCTGATAAGGAGCGATTACCTGAACGATCTCTGGTTTTCTACTCTTCTGTTGAAAAAACAGTGAAATAGAATTAATAATTTTGCATAAAAATTTCTTCCAAATATTTTTATTCAAGAAAAAACTTTTCTCGTTGCTAATGAATTAAATTTCATTAAATTAAATAAATTGAATTTCATTTAATAAATTAAATTTCATTCACTTCATTTAATTAAATGAATTGAATTTTATTTAATAAATTAAATTTCATGTCATAAATTAAATTTCGTTACATTTCAATTAATTTAATTATATTCTAATTATAAATTTATCAATGAATAAAAATAGAGAAAATTATTTAGTGGACATTACCCTGACATACTATGATGAAAATGTTCCGGGGGTAAGCAGAAGAAGTAAATATTCGATTAAATTAACACATTTTACACACATGGAGTATAAAAATTAGTAGCGATAAATTTACATTTACTATGTGATTTGGTTAATTTGCAAAACGGTAGAAAAGGGTTATTTATTTGTAAATTTTACCTGTTGGGCGGACATGGCCGCAAAGTCTGGCAATTCAGCCTGATCTTCAGCCTCGGCTATTTCTTCCTCAAGTTGTTCTGCGGTTTTTTCCTGAAGCTAAAGAAATATAACGTGCAAAATTCATTTCTTCCCAGAGCAACGATTTTTCTTTTACAATAAACAATCAAGATAGTTCACTTTACTTTTTTTCGGCAATGAATTCAGAATTTAAATTCAATTCCATTAATTTTTAATACATTTTTCTATTCTCTTTTTTTTAAATGTTCCATTCTTTTTAAATTATAATTTTACCAAGTTATTAGTAAAATCAATGTTTGCCAAAAACTTTTTATTTTTGTTTATAGACTCATATATATTTATTTATTTTTGTTAACTTTTGTATTTTTTTTGTAAACTTTTGTATTCTTTTTGCAAACTAATTTCTGCCGGACGAGTGTGAACTACCTTGAGAAGTTTTAGTATTAAATTTATCAAAATTTAATACACACTGGTGATTGTTGAACAGCAGACGTTGTTGTTGCTGCAGTAACCGAATCCTGACGCATAATAACGTCAGTTTCAGCTGCAGAAATTGGTACTGCTGCTGATTCTGCTGTTGCTTCACCGTTAGTAGGGATTGCATTACCCTGAGTTCAATTTTGAACAATTGTTAGTTCACAAATAGGACATGAGGACAATAAAAAAAAGGAAATAAACACGAAAACAAATTTCACACTTATGTATAAATTTTTGTTGTTTTGCACTCACCGTAATTGGCATGTCACATTTATCCACATAATTTGAGGGGAAAATTCCTGTTCGATTGCCAATAACGCCTGTCCACCAATCGCCATCCTTTTTCACAACGAGAACTACTTCTCCTTGAATGAAATTAAGATCTCCTGATTCTTTTGACGTGTATTCGTAAAGAGCCATGTAGTATTCATTGAGTCCACCGTCTGTTGAAGGCACCTCTTGTCCGTTTGTCACTGCAGTACTCACGTAAGATTTCGGGAACCAACCTGAATTTCCGTTGTTGCCCTCTCCGTACCACCAGTCACCCTGGAAATTTTTATTTACTTTTGTTAGCTAACTGGGAAACGTTTATTTCGTTTGATACTTTTTAATCGAATAAATCGAGGTTTTTTGCTAATAAAAATTAGTAAAAAATAAATTTTTATAGATATTTATCTATAGAAATATATTTTATTTGTAAGTAATAATTTTTAAAGAAATGATGTTATTCTTCGTTGTTATTAAATAATAAATAAGTGAATAGATTATTACAAAAGCGAATAAGAAGTAAAAAAAAATAGTACAAAGGGAATAAAAAATTACCTGTTGTTCTGAGACTGTAAGAATTTCATCTTTGTCGAAGGTTAAATGTTGCTGAGTAGTGGGCCGATATGAATAAATAGCTGTCACTCGAATATTGCAAACGGTTCCTAAACCTAACGTTGGAACAATAGGATCGACAGTAGGACCCTCTCCAACCAATGAGCCAGCATCCGAAACATTTTCCGGAACTTCGGCAATTTCTCTGTGTTAAGAATAATTTTGTGTTAATTTTCGTCTCTATTAATTCATTACGCACGAATCATCGTGTCCAATTTATTATTATTGTTATTATTATTTTTCAAATTACAAAATTTTTTATTTTCAAATATAAACTTCAAGTTTTGAATAATTTTAGATTCAAAATTTCAAAAATTCACTTATTAAGTACATAATTAATTATTATTAGGTATTGTTTATTATTTTCAATACAATTTTATGAAAATTTCAAGAAAAGAAGTAAATTATTTCTATAAATAGTACAATTCTTCTCAAAAATTCAATTATTTTCAATTCGATTTTAAAAAGATTTCAATTATTTTTAAAAATTGTAAAAAAAATTTGTCTAAAGAAACAATTTTGCTTCTAAATTGTTTACTTACTCTAAAGTTCTCTTTTCCATACTGTCTTGTTGAATGAATGCACTTCCGGTATTAACTTCAGCAGCATCCAATGGTTCCACATAACTTCCCGGGAACCAACCGGTGTGCCCGCGAATTTCTCCCGCCAACCAACCTTCCTCTGCATTTGGAACAGATGTAACCAAAATAATATCCCCAGGTTGAAATGAAATTTCATCCTGATTTCTTGCTTTAAATTCATATAAAGCTCGATATTTGACACCACCAGTTGTTTCGGTTGTACTCTCGACTGGAGCTGAATCGGTCGCTGGCCATGAAGTTTCGTCCACAGATTCAAAATTTTGTCCCGAATCACCCCAAGCACTGTCACCCCACGCCGATGACGAATAATTTCCACCAGAGCTAGTTTTCAATTGTAATACTTGTGATTTTTTATCATTAAAATTAGTATACAAACATTTACAATCAGTCACGAGATTCTGCATTTGAGTTTTCACTTCCTCCAACTGACTATTATTGTTTTCTATGTCCGTTTTCTTTGCATTTACCTGTAAAATTGGGAACATAATAATTATTATTATTAATAAGAACCTTTACATCTATTATTATAAATATTATTACTAATAGTAATGTTTGCGTTTTTGTTTCCTAACTTTTTAAACAATAATTTTTATTTTTAAATGTTTAAAATTTCAAAATTAATCTGCTGAAAATCATTGAATTCTTGTAAAGAGTTTCTAAAAAAAATTTGAAAATAATTGAATTAATTTCAAGAATTTTATCAACACTTTTTTCAAATAATTGAATTTTTTCGAGAAATTTTAATTAAAATTGTATTGAAAATAATTTAATTCTCGGCAACATTTTTATTAAAATTTTTTAAAATAATTGAATTGTTTTTAAGAATTTGTGTCAATATTCTTGAAAATAGTGGAGTTTTTTTAAAATAATTTTAACTAAATTAAAAATTTCTTTGCAAAAAGCTTCAATTATTTTCAAGAATTTTATTGTTTACAAAAATAATTGAATTCCTAAGAAGAATTTTATTATTTATGAAAATATTTTAATCTTGAGAAGAATTTTCTTATTTATGAAGATAATTGAATTCTTGCGGAGGATTTTACAAATTATAAAAAAAATGGAATTGTTTCGAAGAATTTTATCTGAATTTTTGAGAATAATTGAATTTTTTGAAGGAATTTTATTAAAAATTGTTGAAAAAAATGATTTTTTGTAAAAGTATTTCATTAAAATTGTTGAAAATAATTCAATTTATATTAAAATTTTTGAAAATAATCAAATTTAATTAATATTTTTAAAATGAATTGTATTCTTTCGAAAAAATTTATTAAAATTGTTTTGAAAATAATTGAATTGCTCTAAAGAATTTTATTATTTATGAGAATAATTAAATTCTTGCGAAAACTAATAATAATTGGGATAATCTGAGAAATTCGTTAACAAATTGAAAGAATTAGAGATAAAATTTGATAAACACCTGTTGCTGTAAGTCTTCAATTTTATCTCTCATTTGCTTCAATGTGATTTGTTTATTGGCAAAAGCCATTTTGATTGCTTCCTGACCAGCCGCATCCTGAGCGGCGTTCATTTTATTCTTCGCATCAATTCTCGCCTTCTCTTGACTTATATTAAGAAGTCTTTGATTTTGTTCTCTCAATTTATTTTTTAACGCTGCCATCTCCTTTAATTGTGAATCTCGAGTTGATCTCATTCCGTCAATTGTTGTTTTCACCCCTGAAACACCAACTCGAGTGTCGCAAATTTTTTGCGATAATTCTTTAACTCTATCGTTCTGTAAAAGAAAAGAAGTTTGAATCAAATTTAAATTAGAAAAATTATTTTTATTATTTTATTATTTTTTTAGATTAGAAAATTATTTTTTTTTATGTATAGAAAATCTTTGTCTTAATTACCAAACTTCCGAGTTCAATTGATAAAGTTTGATTTTTCGCTTTCAATTTTAGAAGAATGTCTTGTTCCTTCTGTCTTTGTGTTTGGAGTTCTTGTGATTTTTGGGTTTCCCATTCGAGTTGTCGTTGTCTTTCCATTTCCCTAGATGATAAAAAATATTGAATTAAAGAAGGAAAAAGATATTTTATTTCAAAAATTTCGAATGAGAATTATGAAAATTATTCCTACTTTCGGGCTGCTTCTCTTTGCTCCTGAGCACGTTTTCTTTGTTCCTCTTTTTCTTGTTCAATTTCCTTTTGTCGTAACATTTGCTTCTCGATTTCCGCTTGTCGACGTCTCTCTTGTTCTAACCTGTGAATTACAAAAATTAAAAAATCTTTTAAAACCCTTTTCTTATTATCTGAATTTAAATTCGGATATAATAGTTAAAGTTACCGAACCTTATTTTTTCTTGCTTCTCGGCCTCCTCTCTCTCTTTTCGTTCACGTTCCTCCTGCTCTTTGCGTTGAATTTCTAACAGAGCTTTACGACGTCTTTCCAATTCTGCTTGTCCTTTTTCAAAGTTCTCCTTCCTCTTGTCTTCAAAAGACGACTACGATAAAAAAAATTAGAAAATATAAGAAACAGTAGGTAAAAATTTACAATAAGTAAAAAAATTTTGTTTAGTGGTAGGGAATTGGAAAAAACATGGAAATATTTTTAAACCTGAGGCATTCCAAGGGATGGATCAATATCCGGTGTTCCCTGTGAAGGCGTCAAACTGCTTTGTCTTTGGCGCCTGAACGTCGGGGGAATAAGATCGAGTGGAAGAGCAACGGGAATATTTTCACCACACTTTGCCATATCGCATAAATGCATCGCGAGAACGAATTCTTCGCAACCTAAACGTCCGTCCGAGTCCATATCGGATAGAGTCCTGGAATAAAACAATTATTTACTACAGGGTTGCGACAGGTCAGGGAAATCATAGAAAAGTCAGGGATTTTTAATGAAAGTACAAGGAAAAATTAAAATTTTTGAAATTCATGAGAAAATTCTGAATTTTGGTCTCTTTTTTGTTTGCCTCATAAAGTATGAAATTACTAAAAATAATTGAATTTTGAACAAGTTACAAATAATTGCCGAAATTCAATTATTTCCAAAGGAATAAAATTTTTCGTAGAAATTCAAAAAGTCGCGTCAAAATTTCAATTATTTTTATAAATAATAAAATTCTTTTCTAAAATTCAAATATTTTCAAAAATTTTAATAAAATACTTGGTATTTAAATTATTTTCAAAAAATTTCCTCAATTCAATGATTTTCAAATATCCACTATTTCAATAAAAATTTTAAAAGAATTTAATTATTTAAAAAAATTTTCATTGAATTCTATGCGAACATTTAATTATTTTCATAAATTATAAAAATTTTACAGGAATTCAATTAATTATAAATTTTCTATAAATTTCTTTGAAATAATTCCATTATTTTCGTAAATAATAAAATTTTTTACAGGGATTGAATTATTTTCATAGATAATAAAATTCTTTCATAAAAATTCAATTATTTTCATAAATAATAAAATTCTTCGTAGAATTTCAATTATTTTTAATACAATGTTAATCAAATTTCTCGAAAAATGTAATTCTTAAAAATTACGTCAGTGAAGTTCACAACGTTTTTGATCAATGATTGAAAGACAAAAATAGTTTTTTTGAAATTCGGTTTTTCGAATTTTTGATAATTTTAGATAATTTTAGATTTTTTACCAAAGGGTGAAGACTTTTAAATACATAAAGTGTTTTTGAAGAGCACAAAAATAGTAAAGCTAAATGCCATAAAAGAGAAGAAAAAATGTTGAATTTGGAGAAATTCGGAATTTTGAATTTTTTATAATTTTCGATAATTTCAAATTTTTTACCAAAGGGTAGAGACTATTAAATAAATAAAGTATTTTTGAAGAGCACAAAAATAATGAAGCTAAATGCCATACAAAAGAAGAAAAAATGTTGAATTTTGAGAAATTCGGATTTTTGAATTTTTGATAATTTTTTATTTTTTACCAAAGGTTGTAGATTATTAAATAAGTAAAGTATTTTCAAAGAGCCCAAAAATATTGAAGCTAAATGCCATAAAAGAGAAGAAAAAATGTTTAATTTTAAAAAATCGGTTTTTCGAATTTTTGATAATTTTTAATAATTTCAAATTTTTTACCAAAGGGTGGAGACTATTAACAGGGTGTTTAACGGTCAGGGAAGTCAGGGAATGTCAGAAAATTTCATTAAAAGTCAGAAAAATTTCTAAAAATTTCTACAAAAATTAAAATTTTTGTGAATAAAAATTTTTTTTAATCTAACAGAACTTAGATTCAATTATCAATAAATTATTTATTTGCATTTTATTTGTATTTAAATGATTAAATTCTCGTAGAATTTTCTGATAAAAAACTGATTTAAAAACGAATTTTAGATAATAATTGAATATTAAAAGCATTATAGCGGGAAATTTTTTTTAGAAATAATTGAATTTCGAAAAGGTTTTAAATTAAAATCTGAAAATCTGAATATTGTCATACTTTTTTATTAATTTAATTAATTTTTCTAATTAAAAATTCGAGAAAATAATAATTGAATTGAGATGATGAAAATTATTTTGAAACAGGAAGAAATCGATAACTGCGAGTCGCAGACTCGTAGTTATCTATGTCTTCATGTTTCATAATAATATTCTTATAAGTTGTTGAATTTCAAAAAAGGTTTGAATTTAAATGTTTTGAAAATTTTAAATTCCTTCGAAAAAATAATATTTAAATATTTATTTAAAACAGAAGTTATTGATGTTTTCGAATAATTTTTCAATGAAAGTAATTCGTTTATAAATGTAATAGAACATTTTTTTTAGTATCTAATAATTTTAGAATGAATCACAATATTCCTTAGTGTCCGGGGAAAAAATCAAAATTTTGTCTGGAAACCAGGGAAAAACAAAATTAAATTTTTGTAGCAAGAAATAGTTCTAGCACTTTAACAAAAAAAGAAAGGAGACGAACCATATTTGAGCTAGAATCTGTTGCGGTAATTGTGATTGCACCATGATATTTCGTGCTTGTGGTCCAGATAAAAATCCAGATCGAGTTCTGTCCCACGTATTGAATAGTTGAGTATATTTTAATTTGGTTTGATGAGGTACGGCCCAATCGATGCTTTGCGGCGATCCAATCGAGGGTATTGAATGTTGACTGTGTTGCGAATCCATGGAACCAACTCTGTCTATACTCGGCGGTCTTGCCGTTGTACTCAATGGTGTATTACTGGAAACTGGAGTGTGAATAGCACTCCCATTAACTGGAATACTTCCCGGTGGCATTGACACTGAGGGAGGAGTTACACTCGACACCATTGGCATGACACCCGCTGTTGGAATCGATCCATTGCCTTAGGAAAATTATTCATTAACACATTCATTTTAATCGCGAAGAAAAAAATTTTTTCGTACTGTACAAAAAAAAGTAAAATTAAATATAAATAAATTAAATAAAATTAAATAAAATTTATCGTTGGGGGTTTTTTTTAAATTACCAGTTGGCATTGCTGTCATTGTTGGCACAACGCCAGGAACTGTTCCGATTGGTTGCATCATTCCCGGTACCATTCCTGGAACCATTGGTTGCATTGGTACAGTTGGTCCCATTCCAAATGCCGCAATTGGAGTTGGATTTGTATTTAAAGGTGCAATCGGCGCCACTGCCGGCATAGACACTGTAAATTGAAATCATTTATTAACACATCGATTATTTGATTAGAAAAAAATTCTTTTTTTTGTACCTACACCTTAAAGACAAGAACAAAACCAAAATATTAAAAATAAAAACTGGACAAAATTATACTACATTAATTTGGAAGTAACAAATAATATGTTTTGTTAATTGAACTAAATAAAAGGATCGTTAATAAAATTCGGATAGGATTTTTAGCGTAGGCTCTAAAAAACACAATTAACTTTTAGCAAAAGCCCTTTCAAAACAATAAATTTCTTTTTTATTCTTTTCCTCAATACCTTCAAATAAGTCAAGATCGAGTAAATCTGTAAGAAAAAAAATTAAAAACTGGTGAATTCATAAATTAAAGACAGTAAATTGCAAATAAAGGTAAATAGAAACAAAAAATCGAAAATAATAAATTTTGAATAAATTAAATAATTAATGAAATAAAAATTGAGTTAATATTATTTATTGAAATAAGATTGTGAATATAAAATTAAAATATAAAAAAAGAAAAAGAAATGTAAAATATAAGTAAAACTTTAATTTAATTATCAAAATCTTATTCAAACTGGAAAATTTTAAAAAATTCTTTTTATTCACGTGGATCGTTAATCAGAGCTCGAACAAGTGAAAGTATTTAAAAATACGGACTTTTTTCTAGAATTTTTAACAAAAATTTTTCTTTAAACAATTATTTTTAATAATTTTCGAAAAAGTTCTTTGAGAATTTTCAAATACATTTTTTTACAATTCAATTTTACGAAATTTCAATTATTTGTAAATTCTTCAATAAAATATATATTAGAAAATAACTTCAAAAAGTTTTAAAAAAAATTCAATTAAACCTTTTGAAAAAAAATTAATATCACAGAATTGTTAGTTAAAAGTATTAAAAAAATTTAATTTTTAAAGATTTTAATTTGAAGCCTTTTCAGAATTCAATTATTTCTAAAAATTCATGCTATAATATTTTAATATTCAATTAAAAGTATTATCGAGAATTTTAACTAAAATTCATTTTTAATTAATTCTTATTAGAAAACTACGAATACAAAAATAAATAATTTATTGAATAATTGAATGTTTCTTTAAACTGAATTCTCATAAAGGATTTCATCAAGAAATTTTTAAATAATTGAATTCTTTTGACGAATTGTAATAAAATTTTTAAGAATAATTACATTTTTCGAGGAATTTGTTTAAAATTGTATTAAAAATAATTGAAATTCCATTTTTTAATCAATTTCTATTAGACAATTCTACTAGAATTAAATTATTTAAATACAAAAAAAATAGTAGATATAAAAATCATTGAATTGAGGAAAATTTTTAAAAATAATTGAAATTTTGTCAAGAATGAAAATAATTGAATACGTAAAAAAATTTATTATTCATAAAAATAATTGAATCTCTGTAAAAAATGTTATTATTTATAAAAATAATGAAATTATTGCGAAGAAATTTATAAAAAAATTTGTAAATAATTGAATTCCTGTGAAATTTTTATTATATTATGAAAATAATTGAATTTCTAAAAAGAAATTTTTTATTAACAAAAATAATTGAATCCCTGCAAAAATTTTATATTATTTAAGAAAATAATTGAATTATTGCGAAAAAATTATAAAAAATTTGTGAATCACTGAATTCTTGCAAAGAAATTTTATCAAAAAATTTGATAATAATTGAATTTTTTTTGAAGAATTTTATTATTTATGAAAATAACTAAATTTTTTAAAAGAATTTTATTAAAATTTTTAATAATCATAATTAAATTATTTTAAAGAATTTGTTCGAATTTTTTTTTTAATAATGGAGTTTCTTTAATAATTTTAATTGAAAATTTTCAAAGTAATTGAATTTCATTAAAATTTTTAAATTCTTTTGAAAAGATTTTCTTTAATTTATTGAATACAATCGAATTTATTAATAATTGTAGTGAAAATAATTGAATTCCTGAGAAGAATTTTATTATTTATGAAAAATAATTTAATTGTTTCTAAGGATTTATTAAAATTTTAAAAAATAATTAGATTCTTTCAAAAAATGTTATTAAAATTTTTTTTTTAAATTAAATTCTTTCGTGAAATTTTATTAAAATTGACTTAAAAATAATTGAATTTTTGCAAAGAATTTTGTTATTTCTCTAAATAATTGAATTTTTTCTTTATAAATAATATAAATAATCTAAATAATTGAATTTTTTCAAGAATTTTATGAAAATTTTTGAAAATAATTGAATCTTGGAGTAGAATTTTATTATTTATAAAGATAATTGAAATTTTGATGAGAATTTACAAATTTTTGAATATAATTGAATTTTTGCAAAGAATTTTACTGTTTATAAAAATAATTAAATACCTTTGAAGAATTTTGTTATTTCTCTAAATAATTGAATTTTTTTCAAGAATTTTATTATAATTTTTGAAAAGAATTGAATTTTGGAGTAGAATTTTATTATTTTTAATAATAATTGAAATTCTGATGAAAATTAAAAATTTTTTTGAATATAATTGAATTTCTGCAAATAATTTTATTACTTTTGAAAATAATAGAATTTCTGCAATCATTTATAACTTCTCAAAAATTTTCCAAATTATATCGTTAAATTTACCAACTTTTCTTGCTTTTTCAATAAAATTACGGACTTTACAGAACTTTTTTTTTCAACTGACTTTTACGGACTTTAAATAAATTTACGAACCTAGTTCGAGCCCTGTTAATGAAAAGTAATTGATTTCCTATTAAAAAGAAACTCGATAAGAAATTTGCTGATAATAATAATAAAAATTTACCCATTGAAGTGGTCGATGATATTGGATGAACAGCGGGAACTACTGGAGGTTGAATTTTATTAGCTGGCGAAATTGCAGGACTATTTGGAAACGAAGGAGGCGCTGGCGGCTTTGGTGGTGGTCCTGTTGATGGAACAAAAGATGGTCCTGAAAATTGTTCAAACGTTAATTAAATTCACTTTCAAAATACTTAAATATAAATAGAAATAGATACAAAAATATAAATTAAAACATTAACAATAATAAATATAAATTATAACCTTAACAATAATAAATATAAATTATAAAAATTATTGTAAAAATATAATTATATTAAAATATTCATATAAAAATATAATGAACAAAATTACCATCAAGAATAAAGCCCTCAATATTATACATAAATATAAAAGTTATAAAATTAAATTTAAACTTTCGAAGCGTAAGCTAAAAGCTTTCATAGCAAAATGATTCTCATATTTACTACACACATTTTAAAACTTAATTAAATTACAATTTTTGATAAATTACACATGAAAAAAGGAAGGAAAATAAAATACAAATTTTGCGGGAAAATATTTACAGAATAAGTAAACACTTTTTTTTCAAACATGAAAAAAATTAAATAAGAAAATTATTTTTCGTTTTTCTTTCAAAACACTGAATAATGACAAGAGTGCTAAGATTAATTTTCTAATTACTACTCTAGGGGTATTTATTCATTCGAAATTGATAATAATTACGGTTGCGATTGTTTCTTAGAAAACAGGGGGAGAAAAGGAAGTAAATTTTTTTTAATAAGAGGGACAGAAGGAAAAGAATTATTTTTTTGAATACTAAGAACTTTAGATTAACTAAACGAATTAATTAAGACACCTGAAAAAAACATACCAATACTTCCAGGGGGAGTGGGTCTTTGCGGGGGATGAGCACTTGGAGTGCTTGTATCGACATTTCCTTTTGTGCAGCAAGAAAAATAAAACATCAAAGTCAAAGAACAAAAGGCAAAAGCAAGTACAAGAGCTGCAATGCTTTTTTAAAGACCAAAAAAATATAGTTATATAAGAAAATAATCATTGACATTATAATATATTACTGTAACGAATAACAATTATTTTGTTACTGTAACGAATAACAATTATTTTGTTACTGTAACGAATAACAATTATTTTGTTACTGTAACGAATAACAATTATTTTGTTACTGTTACGAATGACAATTATAATGTTACTCTTACGAATGACAATTATAATTTTATTGTTACGAATAACAATTATAATGTTACTGATACGAATAACAATTTTAATTTTAACATTGATACGAATAACGAAAATAAAACAATAAAACTGTTTTCTTGTGGATTTTTGCGAAAAATACATAAAAGATTCGATGCATCTGTAAAAAATGATCCGTGACATTCAACAAGAAATATTTTCAACCAACTTTTACAATTATTCTATTATACATTCATTCAATTCTACTATATATCAATACTGATATTTTCATGAAGTTGAATTTCGCGATAATAGAAAAAAATATTTTATTCACTAAGTTTACAATTTTATTTAAAAAAGAATTTTTTTTCGTAATAGAAAACGCATTTTGATAACGATTTCCATATTTTATAATAAAGAATTTTTTCTACACAAGAGGAGAGAAAAAATACTTTAAAGAGTGATTCATTTTAATTTATTTTTTATGTACTTTTTTATTTTTTCTTTATCTATATTTCTTTTTTATGGGTTTGTATTTGATGTTTTTTGCTTCCTCGTTGCTTCCTTCGATTGTTTTTTTTTATCTATTTTTTAAGTATTTTTTTATGTTTGTAAAAATTTTAATTTCCACAAATGTTAACGAAATTCATCTTCATGATTTTTTACAACACAAAAATAAGAAATAACTTGAATTGATTTTAATTATCGGACACAATTGGAAAATTTGAAGACAAACATAGTATTAATAGAAAATCCAAGTGTTTAAGAGAAAGAGAAAATACCTACTGCTTTTTTAAAGCAAACTCTTTTATACAAAAAATAAATATATCAATATTAAGAATAGATACTCTATGAAATAAATAAGCAATGCTTCACAAAAATGGTAAAGAAAATTAGAACACGAACAGACTGAAGTATATAGAAAAATTGGACAATGAAGTAGAAGAAGAAGAAGAAGAAAAAGAAGCGAATCGAGAAAAAATTCGATTTCAAAGTGTAGAAAAATAAAACAATTCTTTGTGGACTATGGAAAATTTTATAAATATTGTATTAAGGGAATATTTAAAGAAATTTTTTTTATTTGATAAAAAAGTCTTTTTTTTGGGAAATTAATATTTATTTCTAATTTGAAAAAGAAACGATTGAATAATTGCTTTTCAATTTTTTCACGTAGAAAAGAATATGGTTTACGAATTTGATTAAAAAATAACTGTCTAAGAAACTGAAAAGCTAATTTAATCTTTTCTAGACTAAGATGCCTGAATATTTGTTTGGGAAAAATATTTTTTCAATTGAAAAATATTGATCACGAATTCAATATTGTAAAATTTATCCAATGTCCAAAAAAATTGTAGGTACATTATAATAAAATATTTAAAAATTGAAATATGCAACAAAACAAGTTTATACAATTATTGGCAATATATTCATTAATAATTGAAAAATGAATGAATTAGACAGAAATATAATTGAAAAAGAAAAAACGAAGCGGACCATTCGACGGACAGATGTTTTCGATGTGTGACATACCAATCGAGGGAGGTGCAGGTCGAGCGGGTGGCTTTGACGGTTTATGAGTTGTTGCGTGTGTACTGGCAACCACTGACTGTCTATTTTGTTGAATAGCTGTATGGTTATGATGCGTTATTATAACATACATTAGGCGAATGTCTCGTTATTTTATTATTCATTACAAACTTGGAAAAAAAATGAATGAAACAAAGTTCTTTCAAAGTCCTTTCTTTTTAATTGAGAAATTGTTTCTTCTTTCTTTAAATTTTTGTTCTGAATGTAAATTTTCGTTCTGAATATAAATTTTCGTCCTGAATATAAATTTTCGTTCTGAATATAAATTTTCGTTCTGAATTTACATTCAGGACAAAAATTTAAAGAAAGAAGAAAATTTCTTTTTAAATGAAACAAATTTGTTATTTACAAGTTAAGTTATTAATAAAGCTGATTTACAAACTATTTACAAGTTATTAGTGAGTTAAGTTATTTACAAGTTAAATTATTAATAAGTGATTCAAAGATGTTAGAATTATGATAAATTTGCTCCCGAAGAATAAAATTGTTTCGAATTTAATGTAGAAAATGTCACAGTGTGAGGACAGATTAGCTAATCAGTATGCAGTTGGGATTAAAATAATGAAATTCGACTCCATTGAAAGTCTTACCAATTGGTGGTGCTGGTAATGGTGGCCTAACGGCGACATTCGCTGGAGGTGGAGCAATGGGTTGGGGAATCGCACCCACTACTGGTGGTGTTCCTACTAAATAAAAGTTTCAATTAATTTTTTACTCTCTAAACATTATGGAAAACATTTTTGTATAAAATATACAAAAATATAACTATTTAAAAAAACTATTTAAAAAAACTATTTAAAAAAAACTATTTAAAAAACTATTTTAAAATATAACTATTTTAATTAATCTCCGATTAATAATTAAGAATCTTTTAAGTAAATCATTTTTTTTTTAACTTTAATTTGAAAAAATAATTATGACGATTTAAGTAGAAAAACTAAATTTTCAATTATTCGCAGGACGTATTTTAAAAAAATAGACTTCTTACCACTAGAAAAGGCCTTTAAACTTTGCACCAAAATTGGCGGAAGCGTTGATGGGATTGCGAAGCCTCGAAGTTTCAGATTTATTAACTTGCAGGCAATGCTGAACTCGTTGATGTCCATTTTCCCATCCGAGTCCGTATCGGAAAGACCCCTAAAAATTAACAAAAAAAAATTAATTTCACATTTAATTTATATAAAAAATTCCTCAATTCTCGTTTTCATTAAAGCAGAGGAGAAAATATTTCATATTTTCCGTAATTATAAAATCAGGAAATTCTTTCGAAAGAAATTTGCTTCTTAAAATAAATCCCAGGCTTCGAACTCGATAATTAATTTTTAAAAAAGTAGCTTAAAGACAGAAAAAAGTAGTAAAAAAGTAGCTATCGAAAAATCAAAGTTGACGACTCAATTTCTTTTTATAATTTCTTAATTACATTTAAAAATAGAATAATTTTTTAAAATAAATATTTAAATATCTATTTTTTTTGTCTACGGGAATTCAAATATTTCACATGATTTCAATGTAACGTATTTTTGAAATTTAACTATTTCTAAAAATTACAAAAGTAATTCTTTCAAAATTCAATCATTTGTTTTTTGAAATTTATAAATAAAATTATTCAAAACTTTAAACATTTTATTTTATTCAATTCTAAATCAATTATGATTAGAAAATTCTACGAGAATTCAATTATTTAAATGAAAAAATAAATTATTTATGGAATAATTGAATATTTCTTAAATTTGAATTCTTATAAAGAACTTTATCAACATTTTTTAAAATACTTGAATTTTTACAAAGAATTGCATGAAATTTTTTAATAATAATCAAATTCATTCAAGAAATATAATTAAAAATGAATTGAAAATAATTATTACACTCTGAGGAACAAATTATATCAAAATTTTTTAAATAATTGAATTTTTTCCAAGAATTAATTTAAAATTATATTAAAAATAATTGAAATACTGCGGTGAGTTTTATTATTTATGAAAATAATTGAATTCCTAAAAAGAATTTTATTATTTTTTAAAATAATTGATTTTATGCAATCATTTGTAAATTTTCACCAAAATTCAATTATTTTAGTGTTTTTAACTAAAATTCATATTTAAATCAATTTTTATTAGAAAATTCTACGAAAATTCAATTATTTAAATACAAAAATAAATAATTTGTGGAACAATGAAATGTTTTTTAAAATTGAATTCTCATATAGAATTTTATCAACAAATTTCTAAATAATTGCATTTTATTCAAATTTTTAAAAATAACTGCATTTTTAGCGGAATTAATTTAAAATTATATTAAGAATAATTGAAATCCTGCGATGAGTTTTATTATTTATGAAAATAATTGAATTTTGTCACCGAACTTTATTAAAGTTTTTAAAATAATTGCATTCTTGAGAAGAATTTAAGAAAAATGTTTTTTTTAAAGAAATAATTTCTTTCAAAAAATTTTATGAAAATTGTGTTTTAAATAATTGAATTTCTTTGAAAATTGCATATTATTTATGAAAATAATTGAAATCCTTTAAAAAATTTTATTAAAATTGTATTAAAAATAATTGAAATCCTGAGATGAGTTTTAATATTTATAAAAATAATTGAATTCTTGCAACGATTATTATTAAATTTTTTTTAAATAATTGAATTCTTGCGAATAATTTTAGGAAAATTCTATGTAAAAAAGTAGATTTTAGTGTAACAAATAAAAAAAAAGTATCCAAATAGTAGCAAATCGTAAAAAAAGTAGTAAATAGGTTTTCGAAGATGATTGCGAGGCCTGAATCCTTTTAAAACAAATTTATAATTTGTTTTTTTTGTAATATTTTATAATTATCAAATTCAAAGAAATTAAATGAAAATTTACCATATTTGTCCTAAAACTTGTGGCGGAAGTTGAGATTGAAGGAGAAATCCTTTTACTTGATCGCCCGTAACAACTCCATTATTTGGCTTTAGAGAATCAAACTGTTCTTGATAACGGACACGTTCTCGAGCTTGAATCACCCACGGATCTGAACCTAATTAATACAGTAATCCACATTAAATCAAATAATTAAAAGTCTTAACACAGAATATTATAAATAATTACAAATTCATTAAAAGAGAATTAAAAAAACAAAATCAATACATCACATCAAAATTGATTTAAAAGACAATATAATGGAATTTTTTTAAATAGAAAAACTATTAATAAAAATATACGGTGTAGAAAATAGTTTATTAGTTACTTTCACGTCAAATGACCTTTGTAGTGAAACAGGTAGCACACCTTGATTATAAGCTTAGAAATATTTATAGAACATAAATAATGTATCTTTATAATTTTTTTTTCTCTCAACTAAAGTTAATTTTCTCCACAAAATTAAAAATATAGAATATTAACATTTTTTACCATCAACTTTTATCAATAATCAACATAGGAAAGTCAAAAAGTGGAATATTAGAAAATAAATGCAGTCACTGTTTAAATAAAGAATTTAAATGTCTATTTTAAAATTGATAATAATTTATATTATTTCTATTTAATGGATATGTTCTTTAGAAAAAGATGCATCGATTGGCCTACTTAAATGTGCTTGCATATAAATAATTAAGATGATTTAAAAAATCTTTCAACTTTTAAATTCAGTTCAATTTTTAAATTTATACTTTTGAAAAAAATTGTTAAGTTAAAAACAAACTATGACAGATGACGAAACTATGACGCAAAACTAAAAAGATGGGAAATTGGGTAAATATTGTAAATTGTAAATTGGAAATTGTAAATTATAAACTGTAAATTGTAACCTAACAATTACAATTTACAATTGTAAATAATTACATTCTCATTTTTAGTAAAATTTGGGAGAAAATACAAAACTCAACGTCTTTAAATTAATCTGCATTTACGCCTCTATAGTTAGATATGTATAAATTGACTGAATGAAAAAAGGCACTTGCTGCATTATCACGTAATAATTATTATCATAAAGGGGAGGCAATAGAAGACAAGTGATCAATGTTGAAAGAGACCTAAATGTCTGAATAATTAATTCATGGGGAGTTTTCCAAACTTTGAAAAATAAAATTGAGTTTTTAAATTATAAATTCTCTTAGACAACTTCATAATATGTCAAAAGAAACATTGTTATCTGATCTGGAACTTGTGACAGATCAAATGTCAATGAGGCCAATGATCGTAAAGAAGACTGTCATTTTTTCTAAAAAATTATTAATAGAGTTATTACCCGGGGTTGTTGAAGTGGCCATCTCTCCAGTCCTGACAGATCACCGTCTCAGATTGTCGATATTTGACAACTGCACTGTGTATAAAATAAAATCCAAAAGAAAAATCTCAAAATGTAGAGTCGTGATGTCGATAGACTCTCATAATTTTCAAGGTTAGGCGGTCGGGATCGATGCCGCGCGCTGGATTACGCGAAATTTAACTGAAATATACCTACAAAAGAAATTGTTCGACACTATCACACAAACACTTTAGCGTTATCGAATCACGGATGAAACCCAATTAAGCGAATAAGTCCGGGTCGTGAACTTTTAAGATTGATCGAATTGCCAACACAGGCCTCTTTTTTTTCTCTCTTCTCTCTTCGTATATTATATAGAGAGAGGAGCGTGTTCGTGCGTTATCGACCTGCCGCCGTCCTGTGTTCCCCTTTTTTTCTTCTTTATTCTTCTTAACCTAAAACTCAACTAGGATAAAATTCATTCTTCCTTTTTTGAAGCGACGGCGGCTTCGTTTATTTGACTTTTTTTTAACGCGAAAATTACTTTTTTGATGAGATGATTTTTCTAAAGAAGAGAAACGAAACACAGCCCCAGTCCGGCTGACATACGTCACTTAAAAGCCTTCGAGCAACTTCGACAATCTTCGACAAGAATCGATAGCAGCTTCGATCATTGTCGGCGATATTCGATGATGTTCGGCATTGGTTCGATCCATTTGGCGCGAAATTTTGAATTTCAAAACACTCAAATTTGAACAATTACTAGAAAATGGGAATATTTTATGTTTCTTGTAAAAGGGAGAAATAAAATAATATTTTAGGTGAAATTTTCGTTTAATTAAACTTAAAGTCCAGTGGATTTTAATCTAATTTAGAGAAAATTTATTCAAAAATTTTCACAGGACAATTTTTGTCAAAAATTGAAAAAATTGAGTGCTTTGTTTGAAAGATAGAAAGACGTAAAAGTAGAAAAGAGGGGTATAGTCGATACTACTTAGAAACATACTTAATCGATCGGCCGGAATCTTCTTTCTGAGAATAGCTCTTTGGGAAAAAAATTGCCCTGAAATATGTTTTTTTGAAAATAAAAAATATTAGAAGTGTATTTTTTTTCTTGGCAAAAAATTATATTTTTATTTATTTTTATTTTCATTATTAACGGACTCAAGACGAAAATATTAATTAAAATCACATATTTAAGTTATTCTTTTTCATTACTATTTCATAAATTACTATTATTTATTATTTATTATTATTTATTTATTTTATTATTTTTTACATAAAAATTAATTACAAATTAAATTATCACATTAGATTTCCTTTTATTTTTATTAGGAGAATAACAAATTATTTTCTAAATTTGGTCTAAATACGAGAAAAATTTTGTGGAAAAAAAAGAAACAAAAGGATTTTTTAAGAAAAAATGTAAAATTTCGTTTTGTATTAAATATTTTTAGAGAAAATAGAAAGAAAAATACAAGATAAAAAAATAGAAATATAGAAAGAAAAACAGAAGATAAAAAATAGAAATATAGAAAAATATAAATAAATGAATAATAAATTAAATGAAAATTTCTCTGGAAAAAATAAGAAAAAAAGTTTTTTTTTAGGAAAAATTAAAAATTTTGTTTTGTATTAAATATTTTTAGAAAAAATAGAAAGAAAAACAGAAAAGAAAAAATAGAAATGTAAAAAAAAGAAATAAATAAATAATAAATAAAATAAAAATTTTTCTAGAAAAAATAAGAAAAAAAGGGTTTTTTACAAAACATAAAATTTTATTTTTTATTAAATATTTTTAGAGAAATGAGAAAGAAGACCAAAAGATAAAAAAATAGAAATACAGAAGAATATAAATATATAATTAATAAATTTTGAAAAATAAAAGGCAAATTCTCTGAAGAAAATGAAAAAAAAGGATTTTTGCAAAAAAATGGAAAATTTCGTTTATTATTAAAATAATTTTAGTGGAAATTAAAAGAATAATAGAAGATAAAAAAATAGAAATATATAGAAAAGTAGAAATAAGTAAATAATAAATAAAATCAACATTTTTTTAGAAAAAATAATAAAAAAGGGTTTTTTCAGAAAAATAAAAATTCGTTTTTTATTTAATAATTTTTAAAGAAAATTGAAAGAACAATAGAAGATATAGAAAAAATTGAAAAAATAAAAAATATAAATAAATAAATATGTAATAAATAAAATTGAAAAGTAAAAGAAAAATTTTTTGGGAAAAAGAAGAGAAAAAGGGATTTTTGCAGAAAAATATAAAAAATTAAAAATACAATAATACAGCAAAAAAATATAAATTTCGTTTTCTGTTAAATATTTTTAGAGAAAATAGAAAGAAAAATAGAAGACAGAAAAAAATAGAAATACAGAAAATAATAATTAAATAAATTAATAAATAAAATTGAGAAATAAAAGAAAAATCCTCTGTAAAAAATAAGAAAGAAGGGAATTTTTTTCCGAAAAAACTGTAAAATTTCGTTATCTATTAAAATATATTTTTAGAAAAAATGAAAATGAAGTGACGCAAAAATGAAAAATGAAAATACATTGACTGACTGTATGTGACATGATTCACAAAAGTGGAGTGATGTTCTCTGAGTAATTTTCGTATAAATGATTCGTGATAAATATATAGATATATATTTTGCATATATTGAAGACGAGGGGTGTCTCGTCACCACGTGGTGGGTCACGTGGAGAAAAGCGTTCAGTTTTAATAATGATTATACATATGGTGGAACTCGCGTGAAATTGCGATTGCCCCTGGAATGATCACGTCCTTGGTTTACAAGCGCTTTACACTGAATGCGGTCTCAGTATACGTTCGTAATTGCTCGCACAACCGCAGGATCTGAAAATTACACAAAGCTTAATATTATTACCAGTTATACTAGTGCAAAATATGACACAAGAGGGTAGCATACATATTTTATCATAAAGAAACAAAAAAAAAAAATTCTCATAGAAAAAAAAAAATTAATTTTTCATTTCATTACCTCTTGTATAATTTTGATTTTTTTTTTTCTCTCTCTCTCCCTCTCTTTCTCTGTCTCTTTAAAAAAATAATAATTTTTCATATTTTGTATTTTTTCTTTCTTCAAATTTGAATATTTTAGTGACCGCACTTGTAATAAATGCTAATATGGAGTTGAGCTTCCTGTCAATATTCAAATTCAAGGCATTGTTTAGTTAGTCGCTTTTTCATCGTGCCAATGTGCGTGCTTCATATAAGTGTTGCCTTTAAAAAAATTATTATTAGACAAATCAGGTTTGTATTAAAAATTGAAAAAAATGTTATAATTTATTTTGTGTTTAAATTGCGAAGAAAATAAATCAAGAGAATTTCAATTCAGATTAATTTAAATTAAGTATTTAAAATAAGTATTTAAATTAAATTTCTAATAATTCATGATTATTTACACTCTAAAAAATGTTTAAATTATTTTTATTAATTAATTAATTAATTATTACCTAGTTTCAATTATTACTTAATCAAAATAATATAAATAACGAAAAATTTATTTACACACAAAAAAATGTTAAAATTATTATTTTTATTAATTAATTAATTGTTAGATTAAATTATTAATCAATCAAAATTAATTAATTATTAAAAAAAGTAAAATTTCGTTTTGTATTAAATATTTTTAGAGAAAATAGAAAGAATAATAGAAGATGGAAAATATACAAATATAGAAAACTATAAATAAATAAGTAATAAATAAAATTGAAAAGTGAAAGAAAATTTCTCTGGAAAAAATAAGAAAAAAAGGGTTTTTTCAGGAAAAATTTAAAATTTCGTTTTGTATCAATAAATATTTTTAGAATAAATAGAAAGAAAAACAAAAAATAAAAATGTTGAAAAATAGAAATAAATAAATAATAAATAAAATGAAATTTCTTCTGGGAAAAATATGAAAAAAGGGGGTTTTTTTAAAAAAAAAATGTGAAATTTTGTTTTTCATTAAATAATTTTATAGAAAATTGAAAGAATAAGTAATAGAAGATAGAAAAAAGAGAAATAAATAAATAATAAACCAAATGAAAATTTTACAAGAAAAAAATATGAAAAAAAGGTTTTTTTCCGAAAAAATGTAAAATTTCGTTTTGCTTTTATTAATTAATTAATTATTAGATTCAATTATTAATTAATCAAAATAATATAATTAATTTGTGTAAAACAATAATAATGAATTAAAATATTAAATAAATTTAAGTAAAATAAGAGATAAATTAATATAAATTAATTTTAAGTACTCAATTTGAATTAAAATAAATTGAAATTAGCTTTTTTAAATAAGTAAATTTGAAAAATACACTTTTTATTGTGAACGAATACATAAATTTCTTTTCGATTTTTTAACTAACGCTAATTAGTAACGGGATAGATAAGATTTTTTCAATTTAAACACTAATTTATTTAAAAATCTATTAGTGTTGGAATTAACTTTCTTTACTTAAAATTACCTAACAGATGTATAATTATAGAAAATATTTTTTAACTATTAATAAATAATAAATAAATAATATTTTCTATTTTGTAATGAATATTTTTAATAAGTATTAATTAATATTTTTAAATTTTACTATTAATTAATATTTCGAAATTTCAGTATTAATTAACATTTCGAAATTTCAGTATTTAATTAATATTTCAAAATTTTAGTATTAATTAATATTTTCAAATTTTTAGTATCAATTAATATTTTCTTATTAATTAATATTTATATCTAATATCTCTCAATTATTTAAATTTTTATTTTTATCTTTTATAATAATTATCATTTGAATTTGAATTTTTTATGTTTATAATAATTATTAATTTGTCTGAATGTTGATATTTTTGTTTATAGTAAATATCAATTATTGTTTATAAACAATTCATTATAAAATGAAATTGAAACAAATATTTATCGAAGACAGTTGAATGAACATTTTAGAAATCCGATGTTTTCGAGTGCGGTGAATTTTTTTTTCTCTTTTAGAAATAAAACGAAAGTGACGGTAATTAACATTTTTGTTGGCAAAATATTCGCGTAGGAAGATGCACGGTTAATGGACTCGTTTAAGCGAACTTTTTACACACTATGCGCTTTATTGCAACTATTCAGTACGATAACATAAACGTGTGTTACGATTACACATTGAAATACATTTCCTACAAGCAAAAATACAATCTTGCTTCTTTTTTCTTTTAAACAAAATTTGTCCATTTGCAATATTTCAATTTTTTAATTTTGAATTTTCTACTTTTCTTTTCCTTTTAATATTTCGAAAATAATTTCTTTTCTCAAAAATTGGGTTTTTTACGAATTGATAAAAATTTATTGCATGATAATAATTATTTTATTTTTAATAAACATTTTTGTTTTTTTAGAACGAGAATTCTTTTCGTTGTTATTTTTATTGGAACAATGCTATTATTGCGAAAAATGAAATTATAATTTAAATTGAATCGAAGAAAAGTTTTTCGATTCGAGAATAATTCACGCAATCAGAGTTTAGATCTAAATCTAGTGACGTGTGTTTTTATAAAAGTTCAAAGTGCAAAAAGCAATCGGTAGAGATGATGAAATTAAATATTTTTTTTTTTTTTGAGAGAGAGAGAGAGAAAAAGGGAAAAATGTATAATTTAATTTTTGGTGGAAACAGTTAAAAAATTAAGAGATTTTTCTCGTTTTTGCTTTTCCTTTTGAATAATATTATATGAATGGCCTCAAGGCAAGAATTTGAGTGTTATAAATAGACACTAGTGAGTACAAAAGTGTGCAAGGGAAGCACTGCTCTTTATTTTCATTTTTTTTTTTCGCACACTTTTGTAATGAAGTAGAAAAACAAAGGGTAGACTGGTAGAAAAAGAAAACTAAAAGAAAAGAAAACTAAGGAGAAAAAATATTGCCAGAGAAAGAAAAATTGAAAAATTGTCCTACAAAAATGTTCTACAATGTTCTATAAAAATATCGTAAAAAAAGTTCTACTTTTTGAAAAATTAGACAACTTTTATTATATTAACGAAAAAAGTTTCTTTACGAAAAATTTCTTTACGAAACTTTTTTTTTAACGAAAAAATTCTTTTGTTTTACGGTTGTTTCGTTTGTTAAAAAATTAATTTAGGAAAAATGATTGAATTACTTATCAGTCGGCATTTAGTGGAACTTCCGGAATTGAAGAGGAATTTTCTATATTCACTTCCGTTTGTTCTTTCGTATTTTTGTTAGTTGAATCCAAAAGTGAAGCGTCTTTATTCTCTTGAGTTTGTTCGATAATACTTTGGTCCATTTTAATTTTAATACGTTTTTTCCGGATAATTTCATTATTACTGTGATTATAATATTCCACAGGCGATTCAATCGCATTGGTCAATTGCACTTTATGCATTTGGGAGAAGCACTTGGTGCAGGCTGCCTTGTATTGTTCGTTTGTAACAAGATCCTCGATTTCCACTAATCCTGAAATTAATTAATAGACAATCACATTTTTTATGGGGAAATTTAAAAATCAGAAATTAAAGAACTATTTAAAAATCTAAAATTTAAAAGTCCAGAATTTCAGAGAAGAACAAAGATCAGAAATTAAAAAACTGTTTAAAAATCCAGAATTTAAGAGAAGAAAATTTTTGAATAAAATTATTTTCGTTTCTAAAATGATTCATGTTTGATATCTGTAAGGAAATTAGAAAATTATTAATTTTAATGATTCTTTAATGATAATGGAAGAATTTCGATTTTAAAAAAATAAAAGGTAAATATTTTTTTTATGTGAGGAAAACAAACCTTGATCACTGACACCAAGATTTTTCAATTTCAAATTAAGTGTACTTGGAGTCATATTTTTGTATGGACAACCATGATACTGTCCATAACTGACTCTGGATTTAATTACAGACGCACAACTGTAGGTTTGATAATTCGCCTTTTGCCCCACGAGACCGTAAATATATCTAATATTGTAGAGATATTCTTGATTGAATTGAGTGAGGGGCATTTTCTTTAGGAATTCCTCCTTCCAAAAATCAACAGCAGAATCAAAGCTGAGACCAATTATTTTCAAAAATATTCCATATTGAAAGCGTCCGTCATTTTTTAAATGATGATCTTTTCGTAAAGCCTCGTGCATTGTCCTCATACACAATGGAAACGATTTCTCTGATATCTGAAAAGATTCAATTTTTTGTAATTTGTTTTTTGTAAACAAAATAAGTAATTTTTCTTCTGATTAAAAAAAATACTTATTTTTGTTTAGAAAAAAAATTACTTATTTCTATTTTTCAAAAGTTTGGAACTTTTAAATGAAGGGACTTTTTTCTGTTTCAATATTAATTTTATAAAATTACTGTGAAATGGAAAATTATTTTTTATTTCAAGGTAAAAAATCTACTTTCTTAAGAATTCGATTTTTAATTTTTTTAAAAGCGGAATATTTTGTTGTTATTTAAATTGAAATACAAAAAAAATAATTCTGAAACTTTGGGGACATTTAGTGTCTATTTAAAAATATAATAAATAAATAAAAAGTAAATAAAAAATAAATGAGCAAAAAATAAAATAAAAGCAAAATAAATAGAAAATAAAAAAAGAAATAGATGAGTAAATAAAAAAAATTAGTAGACAATAAATAAATAAAAGAATAAATAAATAAAAAAATAAATAAAAGAATAAAAAATAAAAAAAAAGATGAATAAATAACAAATAAATAACAAATAGGTGAATAAAAAAATATAAACGAATTAATAAAAATTAAATAAAGAGAATAATAAATAAATAAATAAGAAATATTTAAATACGTAAATAGAAAAATAATTACTTCGTCTAGATTTTTTAAATCTATGGAATTCATCGCGCAGGGCAATGCACTTTGTGATACAATGAAAAACTTTTTTAAAATTGGTACCAATCTGGAATCTTCTTTCGCCACGTAACGATATTGCTGAAAATTGACAATAATTATCAATACATCAATAAAAATTTTAAAAAAGCAGAAAGAAAAAAAATGAGTCCGCAATGTTTAAAAAAAACAAAAAAAAAAAAAAAATATAAAAACAAAAAAATATTTTTAAATTGTATTTGGGCCTCAAAGAATTATTTATAAATAACTGTCCTCTAAGAAAAATTTAATTTCTTAACAATTTCTTTGGAGACGAATTAATTTAAAAAAAATCTAATTTTTCCACTTGTTTAAAAAATAATTGCGGATTTTTTTTTTATTATATTTTAAGACAATTACCTCTCGTTCTCTTGTCAATGAATCGCCAAAAGCTTGCGAAGCGACGTGAATAATTTCCGTAATTGGAAGAAAAACAATACCGCGTTTTAAAAGAACATTTCGACATTGAACTAAATATCTTACTTTTAAATAGGGAACTTTATAAAAAACTGTCTGATCGAAATCGATATTTTCATATAATGCCAGCAAATTGTCTCTATTCTGATTTTTTTCTTCCTCGGAAAGCTGAAAAATTTTATTATTACAGTAATTATCGTTATGCTAATTACAATATTTTTTAATTTCAAATATAAATTTTTAAATAATTTCATAATCAAAATTTTAAAAAATCCTCTTATTAAGTACAAAATTAATTATTATTGTTTATATTTTCAAAAATTTTAATATAATTCTTCGCAAGAATTAAATTATTTAAAAAAATTTTAAAAATTCTTCAAAGGAATTCAATTATTGTTTTCAAATTTTTTGATAAGATTTTTGTTACAGTTTTCTTTTGAAAGAATAAAAATTCTTATTTCCAAATATGAAAAATTTGCTGAGAAAAAAATTTGTTATCAACAATAGAAGTATTAAATGGCAGTAAATTTAATATCTTTCATAAACAATACAATTTATACTTACAATTGGAAAAATGAAATCATTGTAAATTAAAAATTTCTCCATTCCATTTTCATTTAAAGATCTGAATCTTGTATTAAATAAATTTATCTCCATTTTAATGAACCAATGGTAGATTTTCGTTTTTCTGCATAAAGCAACTTTGAGAATAAAATGAGAAACATGATCTCTTCTTCTTATTTCAAGATCCAATGGCGTATTTGAATCGCAGCCAGGACTCGTTATCAGTTTAACGTAAGAATCATATCCTTTATTTCGCAATGTTCCCAGTAAGCATTCTTTGAAGTCTTCTTTCTTTATTTGCGATTCCTTCTTGAGTGTATCAATTATTCTGAGAACTGTCGAAAAATTAATTCGATAAATTAAAAAGAAAATAGAAAATATTTTTTTATTTGCAATTTTTTCTTGAGAGTATCAAAAATTAAAAAAGGTTTTGTCAATATTTCAATTATCTTTTTAAACAGCAAAATTCTTCCCCAAAAATCCCGAAATTCAATAATTTTCAGGAATTTTAATAAAATTTATTGCAAAATTCAATTATTTTTAAAAATAACAATATTCATAACAAGAATTCAATTATTTTCAAAATTCATAAAATTCTTCGCAGAAATTCAATTATTTTTAAAAAATCTAAAAAAATTGGCAACATTTCAATTATCTTTGTAAATAAATAGCAAAATTTTTCGACAAAATTCAATTATATTCAGGATTTTTAATAAAATTCATTGAAATATTCAATTATTTTCAAAAATAACAATATTTATAACAAGAATTCAATTATTTTCAAAATTAATAAAATTCTTCACAGAAATTCAATTATTTTTAAAAAACTAAAAAACATTGTCGTCAACATTTCAATTATCATTATAAATAAATAGCAAAATTCATTGACAAAATTCAATTATTTTCAAAAATTTTTTTTTGAATTAAATAATTTTGAATATTCTATTTTTTAATAAAATTTCCCAAAAGAATTCAATTATTAAACAAAAGTTTTGATAAAATTCTACACAAATATTCATTTCAATTATTTAAAAAAAATATTAATAAAATTCTACGCAAACATTTATTTATTTTCATAACTAATACAAATTTCACAAGAATTTAATTATTTACAAATTTTTTATAAATTTCTTCGCAGTAATTCAATTATTTTCATAAATAATAGAATTTTTTACAGAGTTTCAATTATTTTTAATTCAATTTTAATTGAATTCTTTGAAAATTTTAATTATTTAAAAAAAATTTTATTGAAATTCGTCGAAAGAATTAATCGCAATTAATCGCAATTTCGAAAAATTGAATTGTAAAGAAATGGTTTTGAAAATTCTCAAAGAACTTTTTAAAAAATTATTACAAATAATTGATTTAAAGAAGAATTTTATTTAAAAATTGTAGTAAATAATAATTGAATTGTAATGTGGGAAATAATTTTTCTAATAATTTTTACAGTGAATCAGAGTATTTTTTAGGGTCAGGGAAAAGTCCAGGGAAAAATAAAATAAAATTTTTGTGTTTTGTAAAAAAACGAATAAATAAATAAATAAAATAGAAAATAGAAAAAATTCTTTGATAATTTTCTTTTTTTTTATATGCAATTCTTTCATCAGTCGAACAACTAACGAAAAATGAATAAATAAATAAATGATAAAATAGAAAATAGAGAATAAAAAAAGGAGAAAGAAAAGAAAATTGATGACTGGAGGAAAAATATTTTCTCGTTTGTAAAAGAAAAAAAATTGCACACTTACCTTGAAGTCTCTCAAGTCCCAAATTCTCCAATTCGTCGAGTGTTATTTTTCCAATTAGAGAATTTCGATACATTTGCAAATCGTGGGGGTAATTTTTCATCAATTCAGATTCAAATAGACTCTCATCGTTTGTTACATCCATTTCCATATCAATCATACCGCCAATTATTGCTTTATTTAATTCCTCATCGACGGCCGCAATGTCAATTTCTTCATCCGTGAAGTCATCGGACGAATCTGTTTCCATTTCTTCTTCCATTTTTAATCTGTTAATTAAAAAAAAATTAATTACATATTTAGAAATTCTATTTAAAAAAATTTTTTTTTATTCTATTTTGATTTTCTTTTTGCGAATTTATATCTTCTTCAAGGTTTTCAAGATAACTTTCAAATGCATTGCGTAAAAGTGCTTTTATGATAACAAATATAAATGTGGAAAAAAAAATTGAAAAGTAGGAGGAAAAATTCATTATCTTTCTCGTGTAGAAAAAAAAATTTTTTTTTTTTTTTGTATAAAATTAGAAAGTTGATTATTTTTGGCAAATTTTGTGCTGCATTTTCCCGCCAAGAAAATTTATCAAAAGTGGAGTGGGAGTGTAAAAGAGGGGAATGACCGATTTAGTTTTGGTTAAGGGGAGAATATTGCTTTGCTCGCGCACGTTTTTAGTCTTTCTCTTTCATTTTCGGTGGGTTCATTACTGACTTAGTCCCCAGGTCGTCGTCGTCGTCGTTGTTGCCTCTCATCTTTCGTTCTCTCTCTTTCTTTCTCTCGTACATATATATAAAATTAACTCGAATTGTGTGACATTTTTGTATGAAACCGGTTTTTATTTAACAAGAAAAACAGTGATCCCAACCAGCATTCTTTCGATTAACTTTATAAATATATGGTATGTAGTATTAATACATTTTTAACCACTTTTTTTCTGTAATAAAAAAAAATAAAACAGAGAGAGAGAGAGAAAAAAAAAGCTCAAACCAGCATCCACATGTAGTCTCTCACATGCGCTCTCCTGCCTTTTTTTTAATCTCTTCAATTTTTCTTTGTACGTTCCTGTAAGTCAGGACCGTATATTTATAATAATTTTCATTCCACGCTCGGTCCATTATTATCGAGTAATTATTTTCATTATTCGAATTAATAAAAATACTGAGAGAAAAGTTGTTGAAAATTTATTCTCTTCTCACTGTTGGGAATCAGATTAATTTTTCTGTCATCTCTCTTGAATTTTTTTTTTTATGATAAATATTTAGTGTATGAAAATCATAAAAAAATATCAGGAAAAATTTTACCTTTATTACGCTGTCATTATTACTATTGAGGTGTAAAAGAAAAATAGATAACAATTGAAATATTTGTTGTTGAAGTGAATTTTTAATATACGTGACAAAATGTGCAACAATGATTTATGGGCGAATTTTATATTAAAAGAATGTTTTTATTTTGAAATATGATTAAGACACGAGTTTTTAAATATACATTTTGCGCAGGGAAATCTTGTGGATTAAGTTAAAAATGAATCGACTCTCCAAAGAAAGGTAAAAACGAACTTTTTTTACCTTTAGTTTCTAATTCGCTACAAAAAGTGTAAACATAATCTCATTTTTAAAAAAATTTTAATTTATTCAGAAATCAAATTTAAAAGTACAAATTTATGTTTCTTTTTTAATTACAAGTACAAATTAATTATTTTTAATAAAAAGGCCTAAAGAAAAAAAAAACTGTTTTTCCAAAAAGCAAATAAAGGAATTTTACAAAATTTATTAATTTAACAAAATCTTATAGTTTGGAATTTAGAAAAAATTTTCCTTCCATAGAGAGGAAGTAAAGTGTAGAAAAATAAACGTGGAAGTAAATAAATAAAAAATGAGTAAAATGAATGAGAATTAGTATAGAAAATAAAATTTAGAAAAAAGGAAAAAAAAATGTTTTCGAAAAGAGTATAGAAAAATAAATAGAAATAACTAAAATGAATGAGAATTAGTAAACAATTGTTAAGAAGAATTAATAGTAGAAAATTTATAAGTGAATAAGTAGAGTGAAAATTTTACAAAAAAAAAAAATGTTCGACATTTTTTGGGGAAAAATATTTTTTGTAAAATATTGAGAAAATGATTGGGAGAGAAACGAGATATATTGAGGATGGTCGTGAACTGTAAAGATTATGATAATATTTTATAAATAGATGCTAATTAATTCAAATATCTGTTTCGTCACTGACATATAATAATATCTATATAGTGATTTTCGAAAAAACCTTTTCTCATCTTCATCAATGAAAGTGAAATTCCCGTTACGCCCCTGGATAACGATAAAATCTGCTCAAACTGCTCTCGACACGGTATTGGGCACAGAAATAGTCGTTCGATAATCACGCCATGCAAATTTGGTTATTTTATTCTATATATATATAATATAAAATGAGCGAATTATTTTCAAATTATATAATCAAGTATGTATCTCGGGACCATTGAGATTATTATCAGTTCTCAAATTTTCTAAAGGACACATTTTTTCGTTTATTTCCTTCCACTCTTTTTCTTTTTCTTTTTTAAATAATTTTCTTTTTTTTTAATAAAATGGATAATTTGTTTTTAAATAATTTTTGTAATAGTTTTTTTTAATAATTTGTTAATCTTGCACTCATCTGCTAAAACCTACTGTTTACTACTTTTTTTTACGATTTTCTACTTTTTGGATACTTTTTTTTTAATTGTTACACTAAAAGCAACTTTTTTCCATGTTTGATAATTTAAATTACTTTAAATTTGCTAAAAGTTGAAATAAAAAAATTATTTTAACAAATTTTAATAAAGTTATTGGAAAAAATTTAAAAAATTTTTAAAAAATTCTTTAAAACGATTCACTTATTTTCACAAATTTTTCGTAATTCAATGATTTTTAATATCTGATTTTAATAAAAAATCTCCCAAAAGAATTGAATAATTTAAAAAAAAATGTTTATAAAATTCTTTGCAAACATTCAATTATTTTCATAAAGAAAAAAATTTTCACAGGAATTCAATTATTTTAAACAGAATTTTCCTAGCATTTTTCGAAAAAAATCAATTATTTAAATAGATTTTTATAAAATTCTTCGCAAGAATTCAATTATTTTTAATACAATTTTAAATAAATTCCTCAAAAAATGCGTAATTCTTAAAAATTTTAATAAAATTCTTTGAAAGAATTCAATTATTTTAAAGTTTTTTATTGAAACTCTTTATAATAATTGGATTGTTTTCAAAATGATTTTAATACAATTTTTTCAAAGAATTCAATTATTTTTATATAAATAATAAAAATTTTTTAAAGAAATTCAATTATTTGAAACACAATTTTTATAAAATTTTTTGAAAAAAATCATTTCTTTAAAAAGATTTTTTCAAATTATTCTCAAGAATGCAATTATTTTCAAAACTTTGTTAAAGTTTGGTGACAAAAATTCAATTATTTTCATAAATAATAAAACTCATCGCAGGATTTCAATTATTTTTAATACAATTTTTAATAAATTCTGCTAAAAACGCAATTATTCTAAAAAATTTGAATAAAATTCTTCTAAAAAATTCAATTATTTAAAAAAATTTATTACAATTTGTTTCTTAGAGTGTAATAATTATTTTCAATTCATTTTTAATTACATTTCTTGAATTAATTTATATTATTTAATTTATATTATCAATAATTTTCATGTAATTCTTCGTAAAAATTTAATTATTTTAAAAAATGTTGATAAAGTTCTTTATAAGAATTGAAATTTAAGAAAAATTCAATTCTTGAATAAATTATTTATTTTTATATTTAAATAATTGAATTCTTGTAGAAATTTTTATTAAGAATTAATTTAGAATTGAATAAAAAAATTATTAAAGTTTTGAATAAATTTATTTTTAAATTTCAAGAAAAAAATGATTGAATTTTGAAAGAATTAATTTTGTAATTTTTAGAAATAGTTAAATTTCAAAATTGCGTTAAATTGAAATCATTTGAAATATTTTTATTCCTGTAGAAAAAATAAATAGGCATTTAAATATTCATTTTAAAAAAATTATTCAATTTTTGAATGTCATTAAGAAATTATGAACAAAATTTGTTTCCTTTAGGGAAGTTAAGAAAAGTAGTTAAAATTGTGTTTAGGATACTTTCTTTTAACCCAAAACGTTCGAAAAAAATTAAATTCGTTAAAAAAAAATTATTTTCGATCCTAAGCGTCGAATGCTAAATTCAGTGAACTTATAAAAGGGACATTAATAAAAGTCTCATCGCTAACAACCCAAAAATAATAGTTTTCGACTTTTCGTATACTTAATTCAGTTCGAAATAATTGTTTTTTAAGAAGAACAGCTTTATCACTACACATTTTCTCCTTTTATCTTCTGACAATATGACACACATATATTACACTATACGGAATTAGCAAACGATATTTATAGCAGTTTAATTATATTGCTAAAAATAGAATACTGTTTGCATTGAAAGTCCTATTTTGAGAGTTCATTGTACAGAGGATTGGGAAAATTCTTTAGAGCCTATACAAATTTTTAATTTTTAATTCTTAATTCTTAATTAATTCTCTCCAAAATATCTTTGTGAAATTAGCGTCTAAAAGATTTGGGTAGTTTGGGATTTTTTTAGATTTTTAGTGTCACTAAATTGAGTTAGAAACATTTTCAGGACACTTCAGACTTCAATACACGGAGAAAAAGATTGTTAATATATGACTAACAAATTTATTTTGTTGTCCTAACAATTCAATTTTTTTTTCTAATAACAATAAATCTGTTAGGGTAACAAAAATTTTGTAACAACAACAAACGAAATTTGTTAGTTCTATATTAACAATTATTTTTTTTCTGTGTAGTTAAAAAAAATTGTTATTCTTTGAAAGTGGTAAAAATTTCCAAGAGTAGATATTCTTATTGTAGTTGTTTTTAATTAAACTGAACTTGTCGGCGAAATTAAAAAGAGGAGTTTAAATTTTTCAGTATATATTGTTCTCGACCGATTGGATCAAAATTTGGGACAAATAATAAAGTTCCTTTTGTCAAAAATAATTTGCTTCTTGGTATTGAAAACATTCGCTTTTTGCATCGGTACAAACGTTGGTACCTTCAGTTTAATTTTTTTTTAGTAGTTTCAGTTTTTGTCGTTAGGAACCGTATTTAGTATTTACGTCTCTAGGAAAAGTTACGTTTTTCATTTTTCTTCCATTTCTTTTTCTTCCAATTCGATCAACTTGAATCAATTTAACTTGATTTTCTCAACTTGGGAAAAGTTGAGAAAACTAACAGATTTTAGCCTCTATGGTATCAACATCAGCAAATTCGCCTTTTGCTATGAATTTTCTGCTAAACAATAAAATTATTGTCTCCTATTCAGGAGCAACTTGAAGTAAAAAGCCATTTGTAGATAATACAGATTTTACTGCACCAAAAGACAATTGAACCAAAAAAGCACAAAAAACTGAAAATTTCTCTTTATTATACACATCGAGACCGAAGAAGGAGACGCCATTCTCGGATACTTGCAAGAACCATTTTTTTTATTCATTTTTTTGTTGTTGTATCTCTTATAGCAAAAATTCCAGAGATCTCGTGGACCAACCCCCTTTTAACAACACCATCACATTGGTTTTTAAGAACCGGGTTAAAAGCGAGTCCTCTATTTATAGCTAAATGTACTACTGGTATTATACGCACCCTGTTAAAAATCGCAACTGGTTTTCTTCCAAGGAGGAGAATAATGCAAGGCTTACATATATAAAATGGAAAAACGAAGACGCACTTATAAAGGAGGGGGAGGAGAATGAAAAAAAAATTGAATAAAAAAAAAACTCGTTCTAAGTGGAATAATATATAAGGTTGAGAGAACTTTGGTAAAAGAAAAATGAATAAAGAAGGGAAAAAGTGCATGTGTACTGATTGTCCTTGCAAGGACGACGATTCAACAAAGTTCGATGCCTTTATTTTCTCGCATCCCTTTTTGTTTCGATGATAGGTTGCATCTAATTAGCTTTACTTGTGAACGCACTTCTCCTTTCACTCGCTTGCCTCGCAAAAGTCATTTTTAGAAAAGATGATCTATAAGAAGAGTCATAACTAGCGTGATAGTTCCTGATGTACAATTATAGCGTGAAATTTTTTTTTTTCTCGGAATTTTTTGTTTTTAAGGCGACATAATACTTTCGGTTACGTTCTTTCTTTGATTATTTAAATATTTACTCTTTTATTTTTGCACAACTTTTGGATAAACTTCGAAATTTACTCCGAAAATAGCAGAAGTTGCAAAGCAAAAATGCGAACATTTCTTTTCCAAAATTCAATTATTTTTCCAATTTTTAATAAAATTTTTGTCAAAATTTAATTTTTTAAAAAATTTTTAATAAAATTTTTGTCAAAATTTAATTTTTTAAAAAATTTTTAATAAAATTTTTGTCAAAACTTAATTTTTTAAAAAATTTTTAATAAAATTTTTGTCAAAATTTAATTTTTTAAAAAATTTTTAATAAAATTTTTGTCAAAACTTAATTTTTTAA